TCCTAGGTTCGGGCGAGGGCATGTGTGTAGCTGAGATGTGTGTCTACGTAAAAGAATATGTAGAGAGAGAGTCGTATTGGCGTTCGCATTTAGCGCATTGCGCATTTTTCGAATTTTGGCCCCCTTCCAGGGACCTTGATTTTTACCCGCTGGCACTGACGTATTTTCATTGGTCAGCCGGTTTGCGCGGTCGATGCTAATAATAACAAAAAAAAAACACACACACACACACACACACACACACCTCGAGCTCGACCACCGTCGTGCGGCAAGACTCCGCCCACTCCGAGAATGTCGGCGCCCGGCCCAGTCTGGCCGCGAGCTCCTGCCTCGTGCCCACGTGGCCCATGAGCGTCTGAATCTTCGTGCCCAGCTCATACTCTTCCGCCCTGGTCAGCAGCTTCGTCTGGCACAGCTCGGCACAGCTGTCGTGTATCGCCTGCGCGCGCCTATTTATTGTCATAAACCATATATGTGGGGAGCGGGGTGCGGGGTGCGGGGAAGGGAATACAATAATTTTTCGCAAAACCATCATCCAGATGTGGGTGGGTTTCGAGCATGTTCGGTAGGTAGAAGACGAAGTCAAACTACTACCGCGGTGAGCGCTGACTACTTAGTCCACAACGGGAACTTGGCTTCTAAAAAGTTTTGCTCTTGTGTGTCATGTGCCCGGTGGTAATGCTGGCGGCGTCGGCGTTGGCGTTGGTGCCGTGTCAGTGATGGTTAAGGTGATGGTTATACTGCTGCCGACTATTGGACCGCCTTCACGCCATCAACGAGTTTACGAGGAAATAGAACAGGGAGTGGGGCCGCAGACCCTGCCCCAGAACCCTATAACCCAACTTCCCCGATTTTATGCTTAATCCAATATCCAAACATGGTTCCAACAAACCTGCTGAGGCTACTGAGACTACTAGTGGTGGTAAGGAAACCCATTAGTCTTTGCGAAAGGGGCCGGTGTGGCAAAGCAATTAGTACAGCCCGGACGGGGCGGTTTGGTGCCTGTGGGCGTCGGGGGGCAAAGCCTCAGAACACTATTTTCTAGCTAGCACCGCAGCCTCGACCCCAACGTACCGCTTTGTGCCACAGAGAGGACAAGGATCGTCGCAGGCCCCGACAACAGCAGTTAGTTCAAGGTGAACGTTGGTGCGACACCCCCAGCACACCTTGGGGTGAAGGGTTAGGGGTACAATACGAGAAGATAAGCTATGCAGGCTAAACGCCGCCGAAAGGCGTGGAACTGCTGGCGAGGCTGCTGTGTGCCAAGCTCTCTCTCTCTACGGAGGCGTGAAGCCAACCACTGGCAATAAGGGCTACTTCGCCCACACGATCGTGTTCTCGTCCCAACGTGCATCGTCACAGACAAAGCGCTATTAGCCCGCTATGCAATGAGAATATTTAGTGTCAGGTCGGGGTACATGTATATATGTGACACGTCTCGTCTCGTTTCAAAAAAAATCGCGCGGTTTGTATCTGGTACACGCATAGACCTCGAGGGGCCGACCAAGGGAGCAACGGCTAGCGATGAAGCACCTGGTACCGCCGTACGCACAGCAGAATCCACACATATTTGTAGTGGTTGCAAGAAAGGGCTCCGTCTTGTTCATTAAGAAGATTATTTAGCACAATTATAGCTGGCAGCTCCGAATATGCTGCTTCGCTTTTTGCGAAGTCGTGCACCAACCCATTTCATCCAACAAAGATCGCCTGCGACATGTTACCAGCAGCTCCGCTCAACTGCTTGAGAATATTTTCTACTTCATTTCAAATCATCTGATTGTGTGTGTCACACCCGATGCAGAGATTTGGCACAGGCAGGCATCTACGTGTGAGTCGTAGAATTGCAAAGCGCCGCCACTCGTCATCTGTCACGAGTAGCATCAACCAGTCAACTAGCTCCCGGTCTTCGGCATGGGTCGACTCACGTCTGCCAATGTATCAATCGTACGCAAAAGGGAGAGTACCTCCAGAGGGCTACTTCACCTACAACACGAATATGACGTGTATCTCGTTTGCCCAACACCGACCACTGCTGTACAGATTAGTGAGTGTTTTCGAGAGGAGCCGCACCACAGAGGCCTACGAGCTACCTACCATCTATCATCTAGGGCAAGCACAACGCGCACACAAAACGAGGCCCTTGACGGCCCGCACTGCTGCTACTGCTCTGTTAGTGGTGGTACCGGCAGCAGCTCAGCACACAACCGTGCCCACGAAAGACAAAAAAATGCACAGAAGCAGTTCCGTTCATGAAAAGGACACCCTCTCACTTGTTCGAGCTCCGGCGATAGCCGTACTTGGGCTTGGGCTTCTTGGCGGGAACAGCCGCGGTCCTAACCACCGCCCTCGTAAGGCCCGTGTCCTCCTCCTCCTCCTCCGCCTCCTCCTCGTACTCTCTGGGTAGCGGTTCCGGTCGCTGCCTCGCGGGAACCGCGGCAGGAGTCACCGCCAAGCTCGGCTCCTCCTTCAAGCGGAAGGTCCCCCCTCCTGCTCCCGCCATACCCCCCCAATAATCCGTGAGCCCTAAGATCGCGGTGTTGTTTCCCTGCTGCTGCTGCTGCTGCTGCAACCGCCGCCGCCGACGCTTTCCCTTTGCAGCTACTGCCTCTGCCTCCGCTGCTTCCTGGCCAGCGATGATGCCCTCGAGGAACTGCCGAGCGTGCGGTGAGTTCACGCCCACGAGGGGAGGGGAAGGCACCATGATCGGCGGCGGAGCCGGCTGCTGCTGCGAGTTGGTCGAGATGAGCTCACGGTGGGGGCGCTGCCGCGGCGGCGCGCTGCAGACGGCGGAGAAGGCCGTCACCGCGGTGCCCACGCCGCCCGCGAGGAACACCACCATCGCCCCCTTGGCCACCACGCCGCCGCCGCTCCTCCTTCTCCTCCTCCTTCTAGCTCTAGAAGCAGCAGCGACGGCGGCCGCGCTGTCATCTGTTGTCACAATTCTCGGCGGCTGTAGTAGCATGCTGTCGATGTTAGTAGGAACCACAGCAGCATTGCGCTGGCTAGGCTGCCGTCTTCTTCGCTTCGCCGAAGGTGGCGGCAAGGAAGGCAAGGTCATGCCTTTCCCCTCCTCTTGTAGCGTGCTCTTGCTCCTAGACCTCTGCAGGGCCGGCACAGCACATGTGTGTCGACGAGCGTCGGGGGGTATTGGCGATGGGAAATGGGGAGGGGGGGGTGGGGGGGGATCATTTCTTGGATCATTGATACGATTCAGATCAGATGCAACATCAAACTGGGAGAGCGACGCTTGGGAACAAGAGGAGCACGATGCGGGCGCTCCTGCTGCTGACGTGCCCGTCCCTCGCGCTAGCGGTGGCAATGGCAGGAGCATCGCGGGCACCTTTGCCTGCCGCTTTCGTCGTGCCTCTGCGAAGTACAACTGCCTCGCGGTCGTTGGTCCGCCGCAGCAGCACAAGTATCACCAGACTTAGAGTGGCTCCAACGTCATCGTCCACCGCTGGAGTCGCGCCTTCGGCAGCAGGAGGGGTGCTGGTTGAATCCGTTGGTGCAGCAGCGAAGGAAGAGCGGGAGGAAGCAGCAGCAGTAGCAACGCTTCCAGGCAGTGCGTGAGTGCCTGTGACGATCCGCTCAGTAAATCGGTAGCACGTTCATGAGTCAACTTGCGCGTCATGTCGCCTCCTCAGCAGGCATGGGTCTGGTTTTATTGCGATGCTCGTTTCAGACCGATATGTAGAGCACCCACACCCTCTGGCGTGTGCACCGCCGTGTGTATAGCTTCTCTCCTTCTGCAGCGAGTCAACGCGCGGTGTCCCGCAGCACGCGCGCGCTTTGCTCGTTCCCACTTCAAAACTTCGAAGGGGCGGCAGGTCTTCTTCTGTCGTTCATGTTGTTCGCGAGGACGCACGTGGTACACTTTCCTCGGGTCTGGTTCCTTTCGGGATGGATGCCGTTGCCTACCTTCCTTCATCATCATCACGCACCTCCCTCCGTAAAGGCAACACGTGTTTCCTACGGGCGAGCTCGTCGACTTCAACCAGCAACAACCACCAACAGCTTTTTTTTCGCATTTTCTTTCCAGCAAACAATCTACTAAGTATATGCGTAGCAAAGAACTCACCAAATCCTGCCCGCGCATGGTCTCAAACAACCGCCAAATCCAGCTCCGTAGTCTAGCCCCCCCTACTGCTGTGATTGCTGTGATTGCTGTGTACATGACCGCGCCTACAGCAGTAGTTCGGGGGACAGAACGCGCGCTCCAGCAGGGAAAGAAAAGTAAGAAAATCGAAGAATTGTTTTCAGCAAGAACGGTGTGCTGCTGGGTCTTGTACGAACTTTCATTTATTTCCCCATCCCATCCCGAATTTGACCCAATCTACGCAAATCTACATGCGACGCTTGTTTCTTTATACTTGACCGTCAAGCGTCCCAACCAAGCCGCTACAGTGCAGCAGCTGTATGGGCGCCGGTAAAGTCACGGCTCGTGGGTTCCGCCAGAGTCTTTTTCTTATTTCATCAGCCGAGGAGCTACAGCGGAAAAATGTAAGCGACGTGTTCCATGCAGTGCAACCTACAGATGATCTTGTAAAGGGCAGTTGCAACACACGGATGCACCAATTACGCAGACCCAGCTTTTGCTTGCCCTCAGCTCCTCCAGATCAGCGATCCCAAACAAAGTTTGTCGAAAAAAGGCGACTCATAGAAAATCGATGTTCCTTGTAAACCCTTGAGCAGGAACCGTTATAGCACAGCAGTAGTAGCAGTCGGGAACATCACACCACACAACATCAACCGGTAAGATGGATTCGGATTTATCCATGTACCCAGGCGGGCACAGAATCCACCACAAACCGCCCCTCAGAACCACTCTGTTAAGATGGATTTTGATTTCTTCATGTGCACAGGCGGGCAGGATACCCGGCCTATTGGAAGCTCTTGACGAAACCTTTCCAAAACCAGTCATAAATCAGTCTTCACCGCATTGAAATCCTCAGGCAATGAAGCTACAAAAGTCGGCACAAAGGGATCTGGATGACCCCCACAATATCGCGGTGTTAACCGACACCGACATAGCTGTTGTTTCGCTTCCAGCCTCGACGACGACAGCCGTTTTCGAAGCTTCACTTCTTTCTGAGCAAGGACGTTTCTGGGAAGCGTCGACAAGGATATATAGTGTCGGGACGAACTGCTCGAGGCCTGTTCGTAGCCGTGTCCGTTGGTATCGACACGACAAACCTCTTCGTCACAAGCAACGGAGCTATCATTCCTCATCGAGCGCGAAGAACATCGATTCGTGCTGTGGGCAGGGGGAGTGCACTCATTATTTAACCCCATGCCGAAGTAATTTGACCTCGCATCCCTTCGATGCCGGGATGTAGCGATGCTCCGGATTTTGGCCGGCCCAGGCTGCGTTTCGAAAGCATGTCGGTCAACATCCTTGCGTTTGCTGTTCCAAACCAGATGTGCCATGCCATATGCCATGCCATATGCCATGCCATGAGTTGTAGGGAGAGGGGTGCTTTTTCGGCGCTATCCTGATCTTCGATCACCCTCCCCTCACAATGCTTGTCACACTCATTCACATCTAGAATTAATTGGGTGCACAGTCATGTTGCAGGTCGCACAAAAATGCAATAATAACACTACAGCAGTTTTGTTGAGCCTGTTACCCACAGGGGAGATATTGCTGTGTACTGCTTGGGAAATCGTGGACTGACGCCTCGAATTCGTTGTTAACAATTCTTGGATTTTTCTTAGATAGAGATGGATTCGTTGGGTCATATGTAGAAATAAAAATAATAGATGTATGACAAAGGGGCTCCGCGAAACTCGATGGTACCCCTTGCGAGCCCCCGTGATGTGTTGCCTTGTGACACAATTTGGGTGCACCTTCGTCACCGTTGGTGCTCCCCACACAGATGACCACGTACTATGAAACCAGCAGGATACCCCAAGCATGCTATGTTCTACGCGCGGAGACATTCGACACGCCCTGGTTTCGTTCTAAACCTGGCAACTGGCAACTGCGGTGCTATCAAAAGTGAAAGAGCTGGAGATTCAAGCTCGTTTCGCAGCTCTCGGCACCAAACTTCACACTGCCATAAACGTGCGAAGGAGTCGACGAACTCGCTGGTGACTTCGCTGGAGTGGATTACATGGAGTTGGCCACATTTTTGGATCGCCAATACCTCCGGTTTGTTGGCGAATATGTAACAGCTCTTGTCGTGTTGAGGAATTCAGCCGCTGCGGGGGCTCCGCGTCATCGGTGCGTTGTCGTGATGAAATGAAAGTGAATCGCCTTTTTTCTCGATGCTTTCGAAATTTGTCATTATTATTTTGCGTACCCCCTTTGCTCGCCAAGGGGGAGGGGAAAAGAGCGGAGACCAGGCAGGGCAACACCACACACGCCCCCGGTCTACTCCTTACGATCAGTATAAACATCAGCCACCCAACAGACA